TTTAAAACTGGAGATTACAGATTAATTCTTAATAAAAATGGTCAAATTACAAATAATTATAAGGGCAGTATTTTTGTGCGCTATAGAAATACATACGAAGCGGTATATAAAGCTAAAAGCGCAAATGTAAAAGCCCCAAAAACTGTCACTAGAAGAACTCCAAAAAGAAAAAATCGTACAAAAATAATTGCAAAATTTATTAATTAGTTTTTATTTAAATATCTATTTTTATTTGTTTTTTTTTAAAAAAAAATCATTTTTTTAAGTATGTATTTATTTTACGTATTTTTTTTTAAATTTTTTATTAATAAAATTAATTATTTTTTTAAAGATTTTTAAAATGTTTTTTATATATAATTATTATTATGTTCAACATACTACTTGTTTAAATAATATTACATCTTTAAGACGAAAACTTTATAATGTAAAAACAGTAAAAGAACGAACAAAATTAAAAAAAACAAATTAAAAATAATAAAATTTAACTAGAAAAACTTAAAAAACAAAAACAAGAATTTTTAAAAAAATTAAAAAATTAAAAAAAGAACTAACAGGTAATTATTTAATTATTAATTATTATTTATTTTATATTTATTAATATTTATTTAATAGTCAAAAAAAAGAAGTATCAAGAAGTGAAAAAAATCGCTAATACCGAAAAGAAAAAAAATAAAACATTAAAAGAAAAAAATATTGCATTAAGAAAAGAAAAAGAAAAATGGAAAAAAATGTTTAAAAATTTAAAATTAGAAAATGATAAAGATAAAGAAAAAATCAAAGAATTAGAAAAAACACTTGCAACAAAAGAAACAGAAATTGAAACATTAGAGAAAGATAAAGAAAGATATAAACTAGAAGCAAAAACTTGGAAAGAATTATATGAAAAAGCTAAAGAAGAAAAAGAACAGTATGAAACTTTATATAATGCTTGTATTACTAATCATGAAGATTATGATCATATTAAAAAAGAATTAGAAAAAATTACTAAAGAGCATGATGATTATAAAAGAGATTTAAAGAAAAGTCAAGAAGAAAAAAGAAAAATTAATATTGAAATTCAAAAAAATGTTCAAACAATTATTACTTTAGTAAAAAAATTTCTTCTTTATTTAATGAGACAAATAATTGAACAATTTGAAAAATTAGCAGAATCTGGTGACCAAAATATGTATGAAATGATTATTGGAAATGTCAATAAATTAGACATAGCAGCATAAATTTTATTTATTTTTATTTATTTATTTTATTTTATTTTTATTTTTTATTTTTATTGTTATTTTTTTTATTTTTATTTTATTCTTTATTTTATTTTTTTTAAAAAATAAAAAATATATAAATACGTGTTTTTTTTTTTAAAAAATATATAAATACATGTTTTTTTTTTTTAAAAAAAAATAAATGTCGAATTTTCTTTTATATATTACCTATTTAAATTTTAATATTTGCTGTTTTATAATAATAATCTGGCTCTGTACACTTCTTTATAAATCTAACGAATTAGTTGAAATACTTTTGACACTAAAACAACTTTTGATAATTGTTATAACAAATATCAAACTTATAATCTTGGAACTTATACGCTTATTGAATAATTAAAACTGGTGTCAAAAAAGAAACAACCACCAACCAAAAAGAAAACTAAACCAAAAACAACACTTAAAACAACAAAAAAAATATCAAAACTACCTATAAAAAAAACAACTAAAATATTACAAAAAAGAAATCACAAGTTCTTGTTATAATAAAAATATATTATAAACAAAAATGTCTAATAAATGAAGATATGAAATTACTGGTAGTAGTAAAAAAAAACCTTGTATAATCAGAACATGCAGTGTTGGTGATGAAGGTACTTACAATACATATCAAGTTAAAAGACCTTCTAGATTAAAAGTTGATAGAATAAATTTTGAGGCAACTTTTGCAAATAATGAATTATTTTATAATGATACTGTATATAAACGTGTATAGTTTTAGAAATTATTTTAACAAGAAAGACCTAAATACAATAAATTTATATTATCAGATATTGCAATTCGTTTAGTTTTCATATCAGTTTATACTGGACAAATTAGAAATTTATTTGAAATCACACTATTAGAAGAAATTGGTGAAATAGCTTTTAGTGATCTTACTAGTCAACAATGGGTAGATCATTATAAAATTCCTGTTGCTGGGGGTGCTACCTTACTGACTCCTTTGCTTTCAAAAATAGAATTAAATTTTTATCTTGTTAGAATTTGTGATAAAGATTTGGCAAAAAAAATACAAAATGATGTAACACTAGCAGATATTCTCATAAACCCCAAAAATTTAGAAAATCCAGAATTAAAAGATTATTTTGATATTTTAGCAACATACTATAGAGAAATTTCTTGTGATAATACAGGATTATTAAAAGATTGGAATTTTTATATGTGTTATCAATTTGATAAAAATAAATAAAAAGTTTGTATGCTTCCTGAAGAAGATGAAATAGATCAAAATATATTTGATACAGCAAATTTTGCATTAATCATGATGGTTGATTATATGCAAGGATTTTTCAAAACTAGAAGAAAACGTACCAAAATACCACCACCAGATCACAAAATCAACAACAACAAGATCCTAGATATCTTACAGATGCGCTAAGTTATTATTTAGGAGAAAAATTTTCACTTCTAGCAGGACAAAGTGGTTTACCAGTATATATTAGTGATAGAGAAATTGAAATAGCATATAGATATAATGCTGACATTAAAAATATATTAGATTTAGCACAAATAATTGTATAGCAATTACAACAAGGTCAAAATGGTAATGGAGGAAACCCGATGGAAGAAGATGAACCAGATGCAGAAATTTAATTTAATTTTTTTAATATAAATATAGGAGTTGTCTTTTTTTTTTTTTTTTTAATTTTTATTTTATTCAAAATGTCTTGTAAATGCAAATATAATAATAAATTTGAATATTGTTGTTATCATTATTCTGAATCAATTGATAATAAAAAACCAAATGTTGATGAAACACATATTACTATTATTATGGCCCTTGAGCAAGCATTAATGCAATATTATTCAAATCAACAAACAAATCAAGACCAAAATCAAGAACAAAATGAAGATGAAATATTACCAGATTAACCAGAACAAGATGAAGATGTAGAAATAGATAATCCTCAAGCAAAACAACCTGAACAAACTCTTTCACCTATAATTAATAATTTGTTTGATCAATTAAAAAAAGAAATTGAAGAAACCCAAAGACCTAATACAATATAATTGATTGATAATGGAAATTTAGATCAAAGAATAAATAATTCAAAATTATCGTCAAATTTAATTAATGATTTACAAAAATTAAGAATATCAAGATTAGATAAATTATATTTTGAACAATATGATTATTATACTGATTTAAAAAATAAAATAGAAGAAATTTTAACATTGAATAATTTATTCAATACTATCAACAATAATAAAGTTTTAATAGCCATACAAATATCAACTTTATTAAAAAGTATAAATGATAAAATTTATAAAATTAATCAAAAAAAAGAATATGATTTGATCAAAAATGGAATAATTAAAGAAAAAGATTTAACTCAATTAGAAAATATTTGGAAAGATACTATTGATAATGCTAAATATCTTGATGATAAACAAAAAGATGAATTACACAAACTTAGAAATATCCAAAAATAGGAAATTCAAGATTCAAAAAAATTTGAACAATATAAATCAGAAATTAAAAATGAAGCATTTATTTCAAATTTACTCAATGAGAAATCATTTGATATTTTAATAACAAATGATTCTTTATTAACAAAACAACAAAAAAATCAACTTCATATATTAAGAAAACAAAGAATTCAAATCTTAACAGATAAAGTATTTGATGAGCTT